CCTTTGCACTGGGCTAAGTGGTGTAGTGATAGTCCGTTGCATGATTTTCTAGGAATTCGGTTGAATCGTACAGAAGTTATTAAAATTTAAATAGTTGTTATTCGAGTGAGATGCTAAAATTTTTCAAAGTGTCGCGGGCTGCTATAGTGCGGAGCCAAAACCATTAAAAATTATGCTATTAGATTTGTTTAGAAAGAAAGCATGTTGGATTCCTCACCGAAATGGAGTATTTTAAAATCAATATATAAATCAGGAGAATTTTGGTAGCACTTATTAATATCTAACTTGACCTCTGCGAATGTCCGGCTGAATGTCCGGCTAACTTCAGCGTCATTGATAACTGTTGATAGACTTGAGATCTTCTACGAGTTACGAGTTCACCTCCTCTGAGCATCCTCAACTTGCTGTAGTTTGTGTCAAAAGCTTTACTTGTTGGATATAAAACATTTCCCCATGATTCTCAGGGATTACATCTTTCTAGGTTTTTGGTGACTAACTTTATTGAAATGAGTATATACATATAGTGCCCCGGACGTGTTGACCAGGATGAATACATTGAACATTGAACATTCTCAATGTAACGTGAGTAATAATACCATTCAGTTTGACAAATGCAGGTTAATTTTGAGCGAATGAACAAAAAAGCAATATAACTAATGTATATATAATTTATTTTGACTTATTATTTATAATGACTCATTATTTATATTGGTAGGCCCGTAAAAATGCTAAAACTCGTCGAAATTCACCTTTTCGGCGTTAGCCGTCACGGAGTATAAATTGTTTTAGATTGTGTTACTGTCACCAAAAAGTTCGGACATTGTTCTTGAATTTCCGTACAAATGTACTAACTCTAAATGAACTATTTACTTGGTTTGTTTAGTTTATAATAGTTCTCTAATTACGAATAAAAGATATCCTTTTTCTAGCTTGATTGAAGCTTTTCTTACTGCTGTTAAGAGAGCTAACTAAAGAAATCTGTACCTACATTTTCTCTTTAAAGTCAGTGAATTTGTATGGGAATCTGAGAACGATGTCCAAACTTGTTATGACCGTAACACAACCCAAACTAGCGCCGAAAAGGTGAATTGCACGTGGTCTGCAATGGAAAACATTACACCACAACTAATAAGGTCCATTTGCTCGTCGCGATCGATCTACCCAGTTTATATAGGTGAACAAACTTAAGGCTTTATTCGATTTTCAAATAATCCAAAAAGCAGTCAATCATTCCTTTCGGAGATGTCTTCATAAAAGTTAATTCTCGACACCTTAATGAAAATTGTATTTATTCATTTTACTCATTTCAATCAGTCGTTATGGTAACTTGTTATCATATTTAAAACCCGAAAGTGTGTTTGGTTTGAACACTAGACCTGAAGAGCCGAAGTGAAGACGGTTGAGGAGAATACTTAAGACGAATTGAATCCAGGCAAGTATAACAGCTTGATATTTTCCGCTGATGTGAATAGAGTTTGTTAGGTCTCTCGCTTGACTCAACGAATTTTCTCTGGGTTGTCCAGTTTTCGCCTCTCCGCATATTTCTTCAATAAAAACGTTTTCGGACTGAAGCACTAAGAACAGGATATTTAGGTCGACAAACTCGAAGTTCTAATCGGCGTCGTTATTGGATTTCTCCAAGGTTCATCACTAGGGCCGCGGTAGTTTACGAACATTCTAGAAAATAGATTCGGACCGCATGCCTTTCCCTTCAGAATCACTCATTTGGTAATCTTTAATGCTATCCATCATATTTCTTTCTTCCTTCCTTCCTTCCTTCCTTCCTTCCTTCCTTCCTTCCTTCCTTTCTTTCTTTCTTTCTTTCTTTTTTTCTTTCTTTCTTTCTTTCTTTCTTTCTTTTATTAGTACTTTTGTTCTTTCGTTCTTTTTTCTTGTATTTTTACGTAGCTTTTTTCTCATTTTTAGCTTTTATTCTCTTAGATGTCCTTTTTTGCATAATTTGCATCTTTTGTTCACTGCAGCCGTTCTATAACGCATCACAAGAGCGAAATYGTAAGCTTTCTGTGAGTAACAACACAGCAAGGTTCAGAGAATTCGACGAAAGAAAGAAAAATAAAAAGATTCTTATTCAAAGAAAGAAAAAAATATTTTCGTCTATTAACTGAGATATTTTTTAAAATGTTATAATTATGATTATAAATTTTGAATCTAATAAGCTTAATTAAGAGCCAATTTTGAACGCAGTAGCTCAATTGGTCAAAATATATTAAAAACTAATTTAAAAAAAAAATGACTAGCGATAAACTATTATAAAATTAATGGAAGATGCCGATTTGAAAGACGTGCTTTGAAGGTGCTTAATTCCTTAAGTCAATATGATTTTGAATATATATTAGTTTAGTTTCATATTAGATAAAAACTTTTTTTTTTTTTTTTTTTTTTTTTTTTTAAAAAAAATTTTTTTTTTTTTTTTTTTTTTTTTTTTTCAAATTAAAGGAAGTATTTATATTTTTTGACTGATATGGGTAGGAAGAAATACTGACAGTTCTAGTTAAAAAAAGATCGAAAACCAAACTTCCGAACGTGTAAAGAAAAATTCTCATTAGAAATCAAGATGACAAAAATCTTTCCAAATGAACAATTATTTTGACAACTCTGTGAAAACTTTCAATTTTTTGAACAAAACCCTTGATTTTAAAGAAATTAGAGAAAATACTACAAATGGCAATTAGTTTCTGAAGGTGATAAGTGTTATTTGATAATATCTATTTCGCGACTTTTCAAATTATTATGTTTGTTCAACTTATTTTTCTAAAACAATTACCGTGGGAATTTAGTTTACATTGTGCAGTTGTATACAAAATTATTCCATTGGAACAAACCTGAAAGAAAATGACAATTATATGGATACTACTCAAACAAAGAATCTTATTCTCAAGAGAATGAAACATGTTATGAAATGGGAAAATAGACGCAAAAGAGCTTAATAGAGCTAATTTGTCTCGGTGAAATGTTTTCCCATTTCAGATTAACGGTAATTATCGGCCCTTGAGAATAAGATTCTTTGTTTGAGTTGTATCCATATTCGTATGTCTTCTCATGTGCAATCATTAAACAAAGAAATGATACTCTAGGGAATGACACGTGGTTTGAAATGGAAAAGCATTAAACCAAGATCGATTAGGTCTATTGCTCAATTCAAATTTCTCTCACGATTCCAAGTCGATATTCATCTGAATCTTATGCTGTTCCTAGATATTCATCATGCGTTTCTCAGTTATCTTATTTCTGTCCGTGGTTGTTCCCTGGTGCTTCGTGAAGGCCAAAAAAGTTCCACTTCCACAAGAATGTCTGCAGGAATACAAGAAAGTAGTTGCTAGATATGGCAGCGAAGAAGGGCATTGTCTCCGACTTCAGGTACGACGAAATTCTCAAGCAAATGATTTTGATAAATACTGCGTTCGACGGCACGTTTAATGTTGGAACTTAAGATTTCCAAAATCTACGAGGTGATGTCAACCGCGAATTGTAAAAAAGTTATCTTTGGGGTTGTGTTTATTGAGGATTTTATTCAAAACCTTGTAGGTAAAGTCAACTCCATCCACAGGGAAGACAGACTTCCAAGGCACAAATTTTGTAGATTTAGCAAATCTTAAAGTCCCCTTTGCAAGTTAAGGATAAATTCATTTTGAGAGGAAACTATCCATTAAGTATCACAAGAATTAAAAACCAACCACGTCCTATTTCTATTGTTTGATGTCGGGTTTGAATGTCGATGGAAAACCTGTCCCAAATTTTGAATTCAGCATATTAATACTAACTGGGGAGAGCATCAAACATCAAACATTAAAAATAGAATAGGGCTTGGTTGTTTTTTAAACCAGTTAAAACGCACGTACTCAAGACCGAAGGCCGAATTTCAATTCAAACCCTCGCCCTAGCGTTTTAACTTTTATTTTTTTATTTTTTCAGCTGATTGTCAACTGTTTTTCTAAACGAAGACACGAGACTGGGGAGGTTGTCGACCACATGCGATATCTGTTCGCCCAGGAATCCTTGTTTGTCAACAAGCTCGGGATATGCAACATTGATTTGGACGACTTGAAGGAGATCACTGACAAAACGGGTATGTAAAAAAAAAACATAGATTAAGATATTTAAACAAAGCTAGCGCTAGGGATCGGACAGTTCCCATCGAAATTCAAAGCCGACATCAAAAAGAAATAAGGCTTGGTTAGTTTTTTAAATATGTGTTTTTCAGATAGTAATGATAAAAAGGTAAACTATACACCGTGAAAAGATGAAAAAACTTACTGTTCAGTTTTCAGATATTCGTAAATACTAAACAGTGTTCACTTCATCCTATATTTAACCTTTCTTTTCAACACACCCATATTCTTCGTTTACACGTTTCGTCATCGCGGCCATGTTGGTGCTATTTAACAAAAGATTTCTCATTAGCACCCATTGTTAACGGTACCACAATGGCCGCCATATTTTTGTCTTTTAACTCTCTTGGGAATGCTTGCAACCCATCAATATATAACCCAATCTGTCTGTCCTATCGCCCTTGCGTCCACGCTAACAACATCTTTATTTGTTTTACCTTCAAGAGGTGGCTCAGAAGCATCGCTATCTGGACTCTGTAGGTAAGACTAAAATATTCACTCATTAAAACAGAAACGATATTAGACCAACACAATGTTTTAACCAATTCAAATCTACTGGGAATACATTTGTTTGTCTATTATATTTACTTCTAGTCTCTTTTGCAGCCGTTCTTGTAAGGCCCCGTCCACACGTATCCAGAAATTTTTGTATCTGCAAATTTGTTTTTTGCGGATACGGGTTGCGTCCACACGTGTCCGGAAATTTTTGAAAACGGTCTCCAGAGGGGAAATTTTCGAATACGCTCCGAATACGGATGCGGGTGGACGGTCGTATGCGCAAATTTTCGAATACGCTGACGTAAACACGATTTTGCGTATGCTCAATAAGAAAAACTATCCGTCAAAGGGACTAGGCACTAGCGTGCATTAGGGCGGATCATGAAATTTCCGGATACGTGTGGACAGTGAAAACGATTCGAAAACGATTCGAATACGCTGCGTGTGGACACGAACATTTTCGTATCCGCAAAAAAAATATTTCCGGGCCTTAGGGTCGTCACGCAACGTTTCCCTCCCCACAAACGTCTGCTTACTTGAGCCGAACATTCCTTTCCCAAAATTCACCAATCAGTATGAACCTAATAGAAACGAGAAGGTTCATGCTGATTGGTCGATATTTCGCGATTTTGTGGGGAGGAAAACGTTTGCATGACGACCCTAAGAACGGCTCTAAAGGAGACTAATTTAATTCTAAAAGTCATTAATAATTCATGAGGAAAACTACCAATCAAGAACGCTGAAATGATCATGTGATGTCATCTGTGTATCCCAATACAGATCAACAATCTAAAAGTTGGGGGTAGCATTGAATATTTCCCAGGGGAGTGCGGGGCTGACGTAATATTCACGTACTGATTGCAGTACACTGATTGGCTGATTCAAATATTTAACATTCATGAGTTCTGTAACAGATATTCATGAGTTGATATAGAACTCATGAATATCATTTACACAACTTATATGGATATCAGTTACTATATTAACAATATTACTATATAAACAATATTATCTACGAAACTTAGATTTTGGCTTCCGAATTCGACTCATCGAGACTCGTTTGCCAACGCACAATCAAGAAGATTTCGATGTTTTTTACGAACTTTTTATAAATACACGGAAATACAGTTTACACGAGGGAGCCAATTCGCAGCCTCGCGTTTGCAAACCCGATACAGCACGGCCACTCATTCATCATATCCATATTATTGCTTAATTGACATGTAAATATATTGGACAAAGAAAAGTCCAAGTAAGAACTGCGGAATTGCCGTATCGTTTCCCACTTAAAATAAATAGTTGATAAATCAAATTCATTTATGTTTGATATACGCACAGATGATGACAAGTGGGATGAATGCGCTGGTAAAGTACACAAAGTGTGCATCAAGCAATATCTCTCCCTGTTGGCCCAAGAACGCAAGGTTTGCAATGATGCCCAAGCATGGATTGCTTGCTACCCTGAGGAAGCTCAAAAGCAAGGTTGTGATGCAGAAATCCTTCAACATTTTGCCAGCATGCTTAAAATAGTTGGAGAAAGTGTTGTTAGGAGTATCAGAAGATACATGGGGGTCGAATGCTCAAAAATCGAGCTCTAGTTATGTGTATCATAAAGCTTGTTTGTAACGGTGGGTTCAAAGGAACTTTAGATAGCAGATCCAAGTTCTCAATCCAATGCATTTGAAACGCTTTGTTTATTCTACATTTTCCATACATTGGTTTAAATAATGGTCAAATATAAAGCATTCAGTCGTTGTAAAACCCTTTGAAACTAACTCGCAGCCTGGACTGAATGCTTTGTGTGCGGCTAGAGTTAACTAATGTATGGAAAGTGGAAAATGACTCGTTGTAGTTGATTAAATATTCGCTTTACTTAAAAGTTTTCACAGATGTTTTAGTCGTAGCATTAATGCGTAGTGGTAATTGCGCATCATTTTGTTTTGTTTTTCGTGCTTTTTGACTTGGTTGTAGCCCATTCTCTTGTGAATTACGATGCCTCATAAGGGACATGCAGCAAGCTAGATGATTTGCTGCAAATAAGAAACGCGTCGCTGCATGTTAGACGAGTTGTAATCTATACTCAGTGGCCCTCCTTCCACTCGTATGGGCTAAGGAATGGGCAATATGACTCTGCGCTTGAGGAAAGCATACTACACCCATAGACAAAAGCACAAAGCTTAAAAACCATAACCTCACTCCAACCCTTAAACTCCATCCCTTAAACTCCATTCCTTAGACTCCCTCCCTTAAACTCCCTCCCTTAAACTCCCTCCCTTAAACTCCCTCCCTTAAACTCCCTCCCTTAAACTCCCTCCCTTAAACTCCCTCCCT